TGACATACTACTTACTAGTTATTTGCTTGTTCATAATTGAAGTATTTGAAGCCACCCGTTGCTTTATGCTGCTACAGATGAGCGGACAGAGCAGAGGCAGTCCAAGGGGGATCTGTCCATGCCCACGAGGGAGGGTGCCAATAAGGAATTCACATTAATTCTCATATGTTCCAGGAAGCTCAGCAGCACTAAAGAGTAAGTGCTTAAAAGACAGGGGTATTGATCATGGTCAACCATTAAATCTGTTTGTCTGTTTGCTCAGAAGCTGGCTTTGACTATTTATATGATCAATGTAAGCAGAGAAGTATCTTAAATAAGGCCAAGATTCCTTAGCTGTAATGTGCACAAATAAGTATTTTTTACAGCACTGCTGGGGAAGGGGAGTGTTGTTGCGACTTTACAGAAAACATGGAGAAGGGGAATTGAGACACAAATAAAGGACACCTCCCTCAACAAAGTTTCTGTAAGAAATAACAACTCTACCATCGCCTGCCTTCCTCACATTTATAACATTTCATGCAAGTGTTGCATCTTAAATCAGCTGAACGTACAATAAAAGTAGCTTTCCAGGAAAGCTAATAATGGAATGGGCAATGAAGAGAGTGGAATTAGAAAACAACGACGACGAAGCAAATGCTAGGGAAATTAAGTAACATCATAGGAAAAGTTAATGGAGATTTGTTCTTCTATTGCTGTCTATTTAGCACACAGGAGAAAAAAAATAGCCTAAGCACGTTCATTAAGAAAAACTACTGAAAAATACTCAATTAAGACATGTCAATACATGAGTATATTTTATTCTATGATAATTCATAAATTTGTTTTGATGCTATGCATTGTCAGATCATCAGCAGTATTAAGGCAACTACGAATAACTGAATTATTACAAAACTATATATATACAACACAGTCACTGATCATCATTTGCATCAAAACTGCAAGAGCAAAAGAGCTATATTTATTCTGCAACAGCAGGCGAAAAAAAAAGTTCATGTATTTCTCAGGATGAATTAAAAAACCCCGCACGATTTTCCTGTAAAATATTAAAACCATGTCAGAAATCTCAGATAATAAAGCAGTATCGCCCAAGCTTTTTGAACTGTTAAAAAAAAAAAAAAAAATCAGTAAAATCTCTCAGCATCTGGAGCCTACTTTTCAACTTGAGAAAAGAGCAGAAGTAAAAAGAGCCCATCTATTTTCAACTACAGCAGAGATGAAGAGACACAAATTTATAAGGCTAATACAGTGTGATGGGCATTTTTGCACCAAGATAGAAAGAAAATGAAATAAGATCCTGCAAAAGCGTTGGCTGAAGTCTCTGGAAGAGACCTAGTAAGGGACCATCTGAGCCACATCTGGATCGAGCCGCTCCAGGAATTTTCACTTTTAAGAATTAAAAAAATCATCAGTTTCAAAAAAGAAAGAGAAAGGACATTGAGGGATGGTGAGTAGAAAAACTTCACTATCAAATTATAGCAAATACACTGCTTTGTTTCACTAAGTCTTGTGCCGGAGCAAGTTTAACAGAACACAAGACATGCAAATCCTATCACGAGGCCTCCGCCTGAAAACTTTACTGCAAAGTATTTTCCTTAAGATGTGAGGATCTACATAAGCTGTACAGAAAATAAGGATTACTTTTCCCTAACATAATGTTTCTGAAGCTGCAGTGAATTTTTAAATTCCTTTTAATTTTAAAATATTAAATAATATATATCTATATATACAAAGAGCTGAATGTCTCGCAGCCCACGGTCTTCCTAGGAATTCAAAATCAGCTGGTAGCCTTCACTTCTCATACCTCCTCACTAAAAAAGCACTAGGGAATTGCTGACAGGGTTCAGCATTGTGCAGAATATTAAATATCTTTTTTGCAATACCCTGGTGACTCTTGAGCCTGTCTCTTACAGCACCATATGTACAGCTGTGTTGGAAAGAGGAAGCTATTAAATATATTAAAAAGTAGAAATATTACCAATAGACACTTCATCAAATAACTGGATCTCATTCATCCCCAAACAAAGCAAGAAATGTTAAGGTTACATCAACATAAGAAAATAACTCTGGATTTAATAACACCACAAGCCTGTTGAACATATTTGAAAGTAAAAACATTGCTTAATAAAACAGATTAGTGTTTCTGAAACAATGAATATAGCTTTCAACCATCAGAATGCTTTGGTAACAAAGACATTGGACTTGGTCTTGAAAGGCACTGCGTGTCTCAGCTCCCACACCACAGTCACAGCTAGGTCTTTGGGTCCAAATATATTACCCTGATTTTACTGGCAACACAGGACTAGGAATTTTTTGTATCAAAAAGGATTGAATAAAAGGTACAAAAGGAAGAATGTTTTGTTTGAGATCGCATTTGCAAATCTACTCTTGAAAGTTTGCCCTCCTCCCACATGCATGGACAAATATCACATCTGCATCTTCAACTAATGCTTAAAGGAGACAGCAACAGCACACCCGCATTGCATGAAGACAAACACATAGACAACCAGGAGACCTTTTCCAAAACATCCAAACAGGTAAGGACTATGAATTATTTTTTCAAAAGAGCGTTTCTAAAAGGAGATTTTCCAGGTTTCCAAGCACCTAAAGACCCCGACAAGAAAAGTGGTCTTTCAGAGGCTCCCATCTCATAGGAATTTGAGTCGGCATTAATACTGAAGTATGTGCTGCAAAAATCCCACTAACCGCCTAGCCTACTTTTACACTTACTGAAGACTTTTACAAGTACGGCTGTTCGGCTTTAGAAGCCTAACACCCATCCACTTTTAAGAAGATCTACAGTCTTAAATGCTCAATAACTTCTGAAAACAGGACTTAGGCTGTTTGTCAGAATTTCCCCGTAGGCTCCATCTTCCGCAATGCAGCTCGCAGGCAAAGCGCAGCGCACGTTCACATAGCATGAGCTCCTCTCGCACTTCAGAGAAAGAAATGAAAAAATAAAGAACCCCCACAAAGCCTTTATATGAAGTGCCACTTCATATAAAAATACTGAAGAGACATGCCTGTTTATTTAACTAGCACCAGGACTATGTTAATTACCCAACTCTCAGGTTTTTGCAGTATTTTTGTTAAGACTCCAATACTACTTTTGCTAACATTTGTGCATATGGTTCCTCAAAGAGAAAAGAGATTTTGTTACTCACAGTAATACATGAATAATTTACATATTTTCCTCCAGCTTCATTCATTCACTTTTTTTTTTTTTCCTGTAGGTGTTTAAACTAAGGCAGTTGCCTACTGACTGGTAAGATAATTACAACTGATGATTAAGGAATATTTTAAGATGCATGTCTGAAGAGCACTGAAACTTCTTGAATCAAGTGTAAATAGAAATTCAGACCCTAAGGCTACAGGCATTCACCATGTATTGCATAAACATAACTGGTTTGTCCTTAAAAAGATAAGCAATTAAAACGTATAATACTTTAGCTCATGAACCCACAAGAGATTCTGCACAGACATGTTCTTTCCTATTATATGGTTAGTGAACATACTGCTTTGCTAAGAATTTAGTCAACAAAATAAAACCCAACACCAGGTCAAAGACAGCTTTGACTTGTCCCTATTGCTACTTCAACCTCTGCCACCACGCATACGCAGGAGCAGGTTTTGAGATGGTTTCTGCAGAAACAGTTGCCTGACCAACAAGACCTGGCTGGTGGTGCTGTTTCATCCATCTCCAACTGCTCAAGACCCTGCTGGAGGTTCAGGCCTCCCCACCACAGCTAGTGACAGGCAATCAGTCAGTTTATTCATGTTTCAATCAAAGTCCAGCATCTCACTATAGACCCACCATTACTAATAGAAGAAATACAAGACTTTAATTAACAGCTGGGGTTCAGGCCTTTCTACTCTACCTAAGAGACACTAGAGGAGGAAAGGCACCTGGGGCAGGAACTTTTAACCACTGCAAAAAGATGCGCCCATGCTCATACGTCACTGCCTACGCATTCCTAGCTTGCAGTTCTCCGTGATGCTCTTGGACTGCTTCTGTGGGATAAGCATAGCTAAACCAAACACAAATCACACAGTCACAGGCATGCCTGCAATACCTTTACACCGACGGTTTATTCCAATACACGTTGAAGGATAAATTACACTGGTACCAGACATCTTTCTGCAACCATGTCTTAACAAGAAAATATAGCAATTTTACTCATTTAGTTACAAAACCCAGAGTTAGTTATGTTTTAGACATGTTTACAGTTCAACCTAATAAACTGCTGTGATGCTTATTAATAAACTGCTGTGATGCTTATGGTGGGGCTTTTTTTTTTCCCTTTTTTTTGCATTCCAGTGTCAAGAATTTGCTGGCAAACAGCAATTTTATTTGACAAAGGCTTATGTAGGCAATGATGGAAGCAACTGCAACAGCACAAATTTCCCTTCAGCCTTCTCTGTTGAGGCCTGCAGTACAGAACAGCCTGCAGGATTGTGGCCTAGGACTAATGAGGCTCAAGCACTGTGCTGCTGGGGTAAGCCACCATTACGTCACAGTTCATTGACCACTAAAACATAAATATAGAATGCTTAAAGACGTTTGGTAGCAGCAAATGAAGGAAAACATTTTTAAAGAGAATGAAATCAGGCTTCGAGGGAGTCTGTCTCATACATGGTTCAAACTAAGGCAGCAGCTGATTGGGGATATGGCCCTGAGCAAAACAAAGCAAAACCTTTAGAAAAACAGACTGTAATGAGTTCACGTCGCACACAGAACTGTCAAAAAATGTTAATGTTATTGACAGTTCTTCCCTGTGCAGGGCAACCACTGTGATTACAGTAAACTCTCTAGAAGAGGTCAGGCCACAATGGCGTAACTGTATATAACATAACATAACTTTAGGGGCTTTGAACACCCCACAGAAGAGAGAAACATGCCAATTTCATTTCAAAGCACGCTGCCACGTAGGGCTACTATTTCCCATCCTCCCCAAGTGTACAAGGAATACAAATTATAATGAAAAAACCCAACCATCACTTACTCTGTTTTCCGTCTTTGCTTGTCTTCAAATATATCATTCAGACTGATGGACACCTGTCCCAAAAACTTGTCCAGCCCCACCAGCGACCTGTGCATGACAATCAGGTACAGGATGTATTTTTCTGGATTCTCCTGCATGAGTAATCCAGGGAGCTCGAAGGAGGCCTCCTCCTTCCATACGGGATCCAGGGTCTTCTCGGCCACCGAGGTGGAGTACTTCTCCTTGCCCAGCTGTATGATGGTGTAGGCATCGTTGCTGCCATTTTTACCTTTTGGCTTCAGACCTTTGGCTTGAAGGACCGTAACTTGCACGTGAGTTGGGAACCACTTCTGGGCTTGCTCTGCCAACATCATCTCTGACGATCGCAGCAGCAGCAATAACAAGCACAAAGTCTCTTAAGTCTTCAAGTTGCTGCGTTAAGGGCACTTACGCGTGGCGAGACACCTGTCAGGGGCTCAGCGTGGTCCTTCCCGCAGCGCTCCCGGCCGACGGTGGCACCCACCGGTCCTCACGTCCCCCCCTCCCCACGCAGCCCTACCTGCGACTCCATGTCCCCCGCGGCACCGACACTACTGCTCTCCTTCCCCCCGCTCCCTTCCCGCTGCCGCCGGCCCGGTTCCCCGCCGCTCCCAGCGCATCCCCCGGGGCAGGGCCCTTCCTCCGCCCGGCCCGGCCCGTTGCGCCGCGGTCCCCTCAGCGCGGCCCGGCCCGTTGCGGCCTCCGGCGGCCCCTCCCGGCTCGGAGCCTGCGGGCGGCGGGCAGCGCGGGGCTGGGGCTCGCCGCCGCCCCGCTCCCCGCGGGGGTGTCGGGCCGGGCTGCCGCGGCCGTCACGGCGCTGCCCTCCCTCCCTGCCGCCCGCCTCAGCCTCTCGCCGCGCTCTCCCCCCGCCGCCCGGCCTGACGGGCCGGCTCTGCCGCTTCCGCCTTCCCCATGCTGCCAGCGGCGGCGGCGGCGGTCAGAGGGCAGAGGGCAGGGTTCGCCCCCTCCCCACCGCAGCATCCCCTCCCCTTCCCCGCCGGGCCGCGCCCGGGCACCGGGGACCGGCGCTGCCGAGGGCACCGAGCACCGCGGCGGGCGGGGAGAGGCCGGGGTGCCCCGGGATAACGGGGAGCTGGGCTCCGGGGCCCTCTCGCCTGAGATCCCTGTCTTGTTAATTAATTCGTCGCTAATTTTATTTGTAGAGGGGAGGGAGATCTCTACGGGAGCTGTGGGGAAGAGGGAACGTCTGTAAACAGCCGTTGTTGTTGTTAATAATAATTATTATTGTGTTATCTATACGGGGGCTTAGGGGCAGCCATGGAGCTAGACACAGGCCTGTGCGGCTCCAGAGCAAGCTGTCATCCCCTCCCGCTGCCACCTACATCAGGAACTTCTTTCTTTTCCATCCCATCGCTCACCGTGACAATGCTGTTGGATTTAAATAAGTGAAAATAACTCAGGTGTTTTGAGGACACATCGTTTTGTTGATGGAGGGTATGTGTGTCTATGTGTGTGTGCACACACACCTGTAAGCAGAGTCGCAGGTATTAGCTTTGTTTCTACAATCAGAGAAGCCCACGTAAAAGAGGTTTGCTAGGCTGTGTATCCCACCCCGTCACAAGCAGGGAAATCAGCAACCAAGTCAGATAATACTTCATCCACCACCCCTCACTCATGAGTCCCTGGTCCCTGGCTCACGGGTTAGTGAGCAACAAAAAGCTTGGGAGACCTTCTCATACTGCTGAGACCTACAGGAAATTAAAAAGTTAAAGCTGAAAGCCATTAGGGAGGGTAAAGTACAATGCTAACCACAGTGCTTAATGCTGAGCGAGTTATTGTCCAGGGTCACAAGAGGTTGGGGATCACCAGTCTATACAGTCATTAGTCCAAGCCCCTGCTCACATTATCTCTGTACACAATTTAAATAACTACTTAAAAGACCCTTAGGTTTTGACTGGAAAAGATATTTTTCTGCTTGCTGTGGTAATTGGTACAGTGCTGGCCCTTCTTTCCATTCACAGTGTCTAATTTTTGTTGATGTCAGAAAGTAGATGGTCCATAATAACTTCAGAACGTGGCTTGGGATCATTTTTAGACAAAAGCATGTGAATGGATTATCTAGGGTAGCAATTTCTTAGTTATAAATGGTGTGGTTATCTGCCTTGCTTTGTACTGGTGAGATGCTAACAATCAAGTTAAGGCTGCGTGTTAACTCTTTGGGATAAATTGCCACCCCACTCGGGTGTTTTTCCCAAATGCTTTGCAGTGAGCTGTCAGTGGAGCTCCCAGGGTGAGCTGCTGCGGTTGGGGAAAGAGTAGCAGCATTTCAGGCTGGAAGAGCCAGGAAGGATTATAGTGACAGTGTTCTGCAGGAGAGTCAGGCCATGGGGGAAAGCCACAGGGTTCTTGTTGGAAACCAGGGAGACATATGTACACCACAGTATTTCTCAACTGAATTTTACCACATACAAATTCTGTTTTAATAGAATCTTTTTCATTGCACTAAATAGAAACCAAGCATGATGCACTCGTCAAATCAAAACAAGAGATGAATTTTAGGTAGGCAGAATGTATTTATTTAATCAGAAATTTAAGTCAAACATCATGTCTTATGTGCTGCATTTTAGGGAAAGCTTCATGAGTTCTTACAGCAGGCAGGGCTGTGGTCTTTCCTTGTCTTTTATTGGTATTCTATAATTTCTTGTTACTGTGACTTTCTAAACAGGGGCTGGCTGGAATACATATGTACACATACGAGGAGATGTGGAAGAACTTCTGTACCTCTGCATACAGTTTATCAATACAACAACAAATCTGCCTTCCCTGCTTTAAAAACATAAGCAGATTATGAGTCCTGTAATCCTTATGCACAATCTGGCACGTGGAAGAGGAGAGCAGAGCCTTCCTCATGTCTCTCTGCTCAGCTGCTGAAGTGGGCACTGGGGAGATGCCCTCTCAACTCCTCCACCCCTGTGCTTAAAGCGAATTCTGCTCAAAGATGCACCAGATATATTTTATTCCCTCTCATTCCCCCCCTGGGGTCAAGTTGCAATCCAGCCTTTTGATTTTGTCCTCTTTGGAATAGGGACATTGTCATCTTCTTGAATGTAATGTGTGATATAGATGACAAAACATCTTGGAGAAATAATGATATCTCCAGCAACACAATGTCCCCTGGCACTGTGTTACAGCATTAATCCAGAAATTACTCAGATTCCCATTTACTACACCACCGCCTCCTCTCAGTGGCTGCATGTGCTGTAGGTTTTACTCATCACTCTCCATGATTCAGTGAATATTACATTAGAAAATCCATTTTGTTTTCTGTGCACCATTTTGGTTATGAGACTGTACCTTCCCTGTGCTTTTGCTTTTCCTCCCCACCTTGAGATCAAGCATTGTGGGTGCAGGACAAACTCATTAAAAAACAATGCAGGTCTCCTAAGACAAAAATGCCTGGAAGAACTTGTGGTAGAAATAGATGGCACACATGAGGATTAAGATTCTGTATTAAATACACCTCAGATATTCACTATTGTTCTGTGATGAACAATCACTTTTTAAACTTGCTGTCATCACTGCGTCATGCTTTCTGTCAAAGTCTACTGATGCTGAGGATGTTTTACCATAAATTTCCTGGTCCTTGGTTTAGTTTCCTATGGAGGATTTTGAGCTCAAAACATTACATTTAGAGCTTGAACCCAAAAAGAGCTCCCTTGAGCATTATATTGTGGTTAAAAGGATTTCTCTCTGAGGATGGTTGATAGCTCCTGTATCATTCTCTGCCTTGTCATTTCTTCCTGTCCTCCCGCCACACATGCAGGGTTGGAGAAAGGCAGCTGAGAAAAGCAAACCCAGAATCCTTGCTGCTGAAGAAAAAGCCAAAGTTGGAATCTCTGGCCTTAGAAAACTGTTTCTACATTTCTGACTTGCGATATCTGTCCTGTGCTCCTGGTGGCTGCTCCAATACCCATTCTCCTCACAGGGAGTGATGAGAGCGAGTTTAAAAAATGATTGTTTATCACAGAACAACAGTGGATATCTGTGGCGTATTTAATACAGAACCTTAATCCTCATGTGTGCCTTCTATCTCTATTACACATTCTTCCAGGCATTTCTGGCCCAGATGTGCAGGTTTTTTTTATAGAGGGAATTCCAAGAATTATAGTGGATTTTTTTCAATGTCAGTAATTTGAAATACCCTCTCAATTCTCCCTCCTGAGCCAACAGTACATCTGATTAAACATCAGGCTTGATATTCCAGCTGCCCTTGCAAAAGAAAATGCAAGAAAATCTTCTTGTGCTGCTGAGACAGTTCCATCTTCTGCTTCTCATTTCCAGTTGCTTACTTGCTAAAGAGGATCAGAGCAATTGTGTGTGCTTGCAGTGGTAAACTGTAGCAGATAATTTGGCAATTTAATTTCTCCCTGATTTCTGCTTATGAAGTAGGAAGCATCTTGTTGTTTTTTTTTTTTTAATGAAAATGCTATCTCTTCTTTGAAATTATTTGCTGAATAACTCTTTGTTGGCAGATCTCAGGCGATGTGTTTGCTTTGAACGTTGTGTAGTTGTGAAGCGCAGGCTGGTTTTGTCTAGGCATGTAACAAGCTACTGCTTTCTGCCTAGCTGACTCTTAACTTTCAGTAGCTGTTGCAACTGTCCAGATTGCACATTTTCTGGAGAGACTATGCAAATTTTGAGACTGAATATTGTTGTCTGTTAACTTTATCTTAGCTGTGGTTGTTTTTTCAATTAGCGACTTCTTCAGGAATTCACTGGAATTAATTGACTGCAGAAATCAAATGGCTGGGCTCAAACCCACCACTGTGAATTGGAAGGTTTTTCTCAAGCTACTGTTTTTGTCTGCTCTCTTGGTTTGAGAAGAATTCATTAAGCTAGAAGTATTTCCGTGTGAATATTAAAAGCTGGATGAATATTCATCACATTTCTGTCCTGAACCCAAATTTTGCATCTCAGAATGTTCAAGGTTTTCAGAGGCTGGGTGAGTTATGCAATGTCCAGGTTTGTGTTGTCCTGTATACCTTTCACATTTACTCTTTTGGAGTATCTCTTTAGAAGGAGGACATGCTTGCCCTCAATAGGTTGGGTTTGTCCTATTCTTTGCTTAAGATGCAATTTTCATCTCCCCTGGCTCATTCTTCACTGTCTTTCTTGCATTATTGCAATAAACAGGATCATACAAAAAGGAGCAAAGGAAATGTGTCTCTGGAAAGGGGAGCAGGAACTTGAAATCAGGTAAATGCCCACAGAATTGTCCATTGTTCTGACAGAAAAATGGTACTTTTGAACCAGAAACCTGTCAGTCTCGGAGACAGGAAAACTGTGTGTGATATCAGACTTCAAATAAATGCCAGGTACCACTAGGAATGTTGGAAGCATCATCTTTTTTGTTCATTTTTAGCTGGACTCACTTCACAGCCTTTCAACAGTGTCACCCATTATGAAGTTCAAAGAGGCTTAAATGCTGTAAAACAGTCATCAAATGCCATAATTGAACTTGCCAGTCATCCAGATTTGACCCAAACTGCCTGTGTCTCAAGATGTTAGTCAGCTGTCTGGGCTAGATTTCAGTTCAGCCTTAAGAACATGAAAACACCTATCTCTCAGCAGCTTTTGCACAAATCATAAGCAGACAAGGCATTTCACTCTTCTATCAAAACATCCCCATCATGCAAACTCCTTGAGCACTTCTAACCTGGGATGGACACACTGAACCTCAGACACACTGAAAGGCCATCATCCTGCCATACACCTAGTGAGATTCTGACTGTCTTCAGCAGTAC